CCCCCCCCCGCCCCCCAAAAAAAAACACCTCCACCCAAAAAAACCGTGTGACACTGATTCGCAATTCGATCTTCCGCCCCATGGAATTGCCGAACAAGAGCTGCGTTACGCGGTGACTCACCAGCGACCTCAATCATCGTGGTGTGAAAAAATATACATATTTCTCCATTAAATCCCAAAACCCCGCAAAAAAACAACATCCAATCTCGTTCGCCGGAAAATTGAGGTACAAAACCAGACGAACGCGATATATAACCCCCAGAAATGAACAAAAAAATCCCAAATTTGTTCCCATTCACTTCAAAATAGAATTCCGGAAACGATTTTACCCGGAGCAGGAGATGTGACCAAAAAAAACCCCAAAAAGAGAAGATTAATAAAAAAAAACTACCGAAATGAAAGTGGGGGAGGAGTTGAAGGACAGACGCTTTGATACTGTTTCCACCTCAAACGTACCATCACAGACGAAATACTCCGATGACCCGGTCACGAGGGATGATAAAAGACGCGCCGACAGTGTGATAAAAAAAAATATATATATTTTTACACAGGTTCGTACGTTGCCAACATGCAGCCAGTGTTGTCACTCGACGATTTCACGGTATGCCGAACGCCAGAAATAACCCCTTTTCCCTGAGAAACTCTAGTCACCCCGTCCTTCCCCCCCTCGTTCCCCTCCCTCTCTCGCTCCTGTTTCTAACACAGGCAAATCCATTTATATATCCCACAAAGCCCCCACCGTTAACGGCGTCGTATCATTGTGACGTAATTCGCCGAGATATGCATGATTTCACAAGCTATATTCCACCTAAAATTGACGAGCCGATATTTCCCCGCTAATTATGATACCCTCCCACGATTCCAATTTCTCATCCCAGTCGGAAAATCGTAGTGACGTCGATATATATTATAAGCCCCGGGGGAAATATTCCGCTTCATTAGAAATTTCGTACGTGAAAATGACGTGCCATGATTAGCTTCCTAGTTGTTATGCTTCTATTACATTATGCGATAATCCGCAAGTGCTTATTTTTTGTTTTTGTATACCTGAATAAACAATAAACAACGTAGAGCCCGAGTAACTAATGTAGAGAGAGTAAAGATAAAATAACTGAAACAGTACTGATATGTAGTTCCATCCTAACATTAAGTATTTAATAATAAAATAGGGGCGGCCCGTCCCGGAGGAGATTTAGGTGATACCTCCCCCGACGAGTTTGCACAGGTACTTGGTATATATGTATTTCATCCATTTGCGGTGTCTCAACACAACGAACGTGCCGCACACCCAGTGGATTGAGTGGTGGTCCAACTGCGTGAAGTAAACTTCTGCTGAGAGATTTCCCCCTCACCCAACCTGCCATGCTCTTATTCTTCCCCCATTTCTCTCTCTCTCTCTCTCTCTGTCTCTCTCGCCCTCTCTCTCTCTCTCTGTCTTACCCAAAAGTTTTCCGACCGAAATTACATTCCTAACCAGCCAACCGTGACGGGGGTTATCTAACCGAGAGTGTGACAAGACACGAGAAAAGCCGGTTGGGTTGAAGGTAAGGGACAAATTAGTTAGTCGAAATCAGAGAGACAAACGAGATTAGGTATTTCTGTTGGCGTCGTGTGTGGTGGCAGGAGGCTGATCGAATAGGGGGCTAGACACACATGTCAATGATGGTAAAATTATCCCCCTCCCAGTGCTGTTTGGCCGTTTGTAGGTGAGAGAAACTCTAGGCCCTGCCGGGCAACTATTGGAAATAGTTCGGGGACGCTATCGTCGGCGGCGCTGCGGACGTCCGAGAAACTCCAGATGTCGCTGGCATAATAACGACTTCCGGATTATTTCAGAGACAGGACAATCGCCCCAAGGATCCAACAACATCGGCATGTAATCCTAGGTGCATATTCGGGCGAGGGAGAGAGAGGCCAGTGGAGGGCTTTTACACTTGGGGAGTTCATCTATCGAACTTCCGGAATTGTGCACGAAAACTATTATGTACCAATGCTACCTGCAAAAGTTTTACTGGCCCGCACACAGGGAGACGCTCGAGTCTTCGTTCCACCCTGTTCTCTGATTTATTGGACACTCTGTTTTCGATTTATTGATATTGTTGTGGTTAATTTGACCGTTTTTTTGGCCATTGGGGTCGGTTTTTTCACTGACAATTAAATACGGTGTTTAGCAACTGTTATTGATTCACAGAGTACGCCACCGTCGGTTACATAGCTAAGAGGATTGCCATGAGGAAAAGCAGGCTACAGAAGATTGCGGAGAGTGTTGAACTAGCGAGGAAAAATCCAGTACCTGGAGTGCCTGGAGATCATGGGGACCATGCGCCAAAGCAAACTGTGAGTACCGCAAGCCAAAATCAGTGAGTTGTCCCTAGTCCAGCGAGATTTTTTTTTATTGGGGAGGCTTTAGGGAGGTCCGAGGCTCAGTCTGGTGATTACATCTACACTTGGAAAAAATTGAAATTTTGTGAATGATTGACTAGTAATTTTCAGGAGAGTGACATTGAATGCGATTTAGGGGGGAAATCACAAATTTTTAGCTGAAGGAAGACAAGAATTGTTCAACTTATTTGAATATTCAGTAATAACATGAATATTTAATTAAAGTTAAATTACGCTGAATTTTCAATTAATTGAAAAGTCAAAAATATATTTACCACAATTTTCCTGATTTTTATTCACTTTCATGGAATAATGGGGTGAAACTTTACAGTTTCCATTGATTTTTCTATAAAAACTTGGATTTTCACCTGTGATATGATCAAAATTTCAAACAAATGTACCAAAAATTTTACCCAAAACGTTTTGATAATGAATCCTTTTTAAAAAAATGGAATTCATAGGATATTCTATCTGGTGATAATTTCCTGATATGAAAATCGTTTTGGGGGGAAAGAGCCTTATGAAATCCCAAATTTCAGATAGAATTGAATTACATTTGAACAGTCTCAAGTGGAAATGAGATGAAACTTTCCCAACGAATTATTACTCGAATTTTAAAATGAACATGAATATTCAGTACCAAGACGCGTTGTATTTTCAATTACTTTAGAATCTTAGATGTCGTAAATCTGTTACCTGTTACTTGTTGATTATTGAGTGTACCTGAGGTCCTCGCTACAAATCATAGAAGATGAACCGTAAAAACTTCAGAAAAATTCTGGAATACGGTAGAAAATTTTGAAATTTGAAGAATTCCCGAAAAATTTTGGATTTTGGAGAAAATCCAGAGAGTGTTGCTCACACTCGGGATTTTTAATCTGCAAAACTCGAAAACTTCATTCGTTTCCAAGGAAGCGTTTGGGGCAATATCCGTCATTTTGTGAAAATTTTCATCATTCGACACTGAAAATTCAGACAAAAATTTCTAACCGACCTTGTCATTTCTGCTCACCTCGAATTGCAATTTATTCATACCCGAAGCAAAAAAACTAACGGGCAGCATCACCTGAAATTGAAAACTTTTTTTTCGCAATAATATCTCACGGAGCAGAATTTATATCCCCGTAAAGCATTCCAAACTGACTGCGACCGCACTTTATGTGACAAATAAAAAAATAGAAATAGGAAAACGAGGAAAAGACTCGGAGTTGTTATACCGCCAGGACACTTCCGGTTTCACTTCTCCGTTCTTTTTTCCGCTCTGTGAAAAAAGAAAAGAAACTAAATCAAGCTTAAGAAGGAGGGGCACTTAGTACGACTGCGGGTAATTTATGAGCACAAAACATTTCCACGAAGGCGGACAGGGGAGGCTAGGGGAGAGTGGTGGTTTCGCCTATTTTCCCCTGAGAAATTGGTTAATTAACTTTAAATAATTGGGTCTATCAATTTACTTCCCTCGTTTTCTCCGGTACTTGCATGTGGGACACCGCCATGAGAATGGAAGAGAGGGGGAGGGAAAAGCTGGAGAACGCGGGCTCGTCGCCCAATCGGCCTGACCCAAATTGCATTTACTTAAGGAAGCCAAACTGTGTCTTTGCATTTTTAGACCTATTCTCGGTCTTCAACCACCCCCTCCCCCGCTTCTCATCTCCTGAATGATAGAATTGGACGGAATTACGGATGTGGAAAGAGAATAGGCCAATTTTTGGGCTCTTTTAAGGGGAGGCTACTATGAGTTTTGAAAGTCGCGGGATATTAGATCGAGATTTCTCATACATTTAAGATCGATTATACATGTCTAAAAACACATAATTAGCGTAAAAAATTTATTGTCTATTGTTCGTTTGGAGAGAAATATTCAATAAAAATTACGGACGTATGAGGTACCTGATAAAATAAGAATCTTCATATGATAAGCTAAGTTCTGCAGCAAAAAACGGTGACAAAAAATGTTATATGCTTTTTTTGTATTTTAAAGGGATTGAATTGCCTGGTCCTTTTGAAATATTTTATTCTTGATCATTCCAAGTGTTTTATTGTGCTGCTATATTTGTAAATCTTCCCTTCTTTTTTTTTTACTTTGAAACTTTATACTATATTGTTTATATTGTTTGTATTAATGAATCTAGTAGCTATTTCTTGCTGTCTTATATTTGCTACATGTATTTTTCCTGTAAACTGGGCTTCCCCTGCTAAGTGGTACCATGTGTGAGATGCAGAAATTAAATAAATAAATAAATAACATAAAAATTACGTATCTTTTCCTTAAGTCCGGAGCGAAATATGGTTGTAGGAAATTTTACGGAACTGTTACGGAATTTTTCCAGAGCGCTCCGTAATTTTTATGACTCTCCTGTGAAAAATTACGATACCGTCACTTAAATTTTCGAATTGTAAGTTCCGTAATTTTTACTGAACATTCATCTCCGTGTAGAAATTAGGAAGAAGATTAAAATCTAGGAAATAATCAGAAAACATAAATAAAAAGTCTATGCCCAATACGACCACTATCGTCAGTCTCAAAGTTTTGTATTAAATAATTCATGTTTCTGAAATAATTCTATTTCTGCACCAGTATAAAATCATACTGAATGTCCTCAACATATCCTCTACACCAGCAAATTTCCTCTTCGTCATATTCAACTCAACTTTATCAATCCCAATGAGTCGGGATTTATCGCGCTCTAAAGTAAAAAAGAAAAAGCTCGAGAATGCAATTTTCCGGAATCCCATTTCATTTCAGAAACTGTCCAACTCAAATATCCCGAACATTAATTTGAAACACTTGGAATACTTCTGGATCCGTCCCAAACATAAATACTCAAAAGTTGGGGGCGTGAGAGAGCGGTTAAAAAGGTGTTCTACATAAAATGAATTCACGATTCGGAAATTTAACGAATGAAAGCAGTCAGACCGTCTCTGCCACCATAAATTTTCTTTTAATCTCGTGGATTGTTCAGTGATGGGGCACGGGAGGGGTGGAGGGGGGGGGGGGGGGCATTGAGTGTATAGAGGTGAAAAAGAAAATATTAAAAGTATCGGGTGAAAAGGGAAGGGTGGTGTGTCCCGGCGTTGCTAGTGTCCGAAGCACGGCGATAGAAAAAAAGCAAGTGGTGGAAAAACGCTGAGGGGAGAGGGAAAATATAAAACAGACGAGTACAGTGGAATTTTCTGCAGCCAGATGAGAAAGGCTGCTTTAATTAGAGAAGAACGAATTAATTATCCAGCGAGAGGAGTCTCTCCGGCTGAGATTAAATTGTGTCGATGAAGGGACAGTATTCTTTTTCAATTTTATTATCCTGTTTTCATCTTTTCGTACAATGTACCTCCATTCATTTCAAAAGTACTCGGGAAATCTCATTTAACTTGGGAAAATTCCCTCTAGCTACAGTTGTCTATTATTTCACTTTACGCAAATGATTTATCCGCATAACGAAAATACACGAGAAGAAAATTTAAGAAAAAATTAATTTCACTGTACGAAACGCAATCACAGCGCAGAGTGTTATTTAATTAAAAAGACCCCTGTTGCTGGGAATTTTTCGTCGAGCGAAAAAAGGACGCCCGTGGGAGGAGAAATTACCTTTCTCCCTAGAGTAAAATTTCGCACATGAATTTTTCAATTTTTCCAATTTCTGAAAAATAATAATTAAATTTTAATTTCTCATTTCCCTCTCTGATTAGTGAGGAATGAATATTAGCTCATAAAATAATATAGAGTTGCAAGAGCCTAGAGGAGAACATTTTTTAAGCATTCCAAGTCAATAAGTTTACTCTGTTGAAGAATAATAATTATAATACAAAAGTGAAAGAATAATGGATCGTTTACTTGAGTGTCTCATCCATTTACTTTAATTTGTTGAAGAATAAATCAATAGCCACAAATGTTCTCATGCAGAGGGCACTGAGAATAGAAAAGAACTTCACTTCGCTTCACTTCTCTTCGATTACCCTGTTAAAAATTTTTGGTTGAAATTTTCGGTACAATTTTTTGAAATTTTTACCAAAATTCAAAGTTTACAGAAAAATCAATGGGAAGTGTAAATTTCTATTCAATTATTCCATGCAAATTAATGAAATCAGAAAAATGCAGATGAATATGTTCTTGAATTTTCAGTTAATCGGAGTCTCAGTTTCAATTTAAGTTAATCGGAGTCTCAATTTCAGTAATGTCGTACTGAATATTCATGTTTTCATTAAAAATTCAAGTTGAGGACTCCTCGTCTCTCTGTTGTGCGAAAATTTAGCCCTCTCTAAATTTATTTTAGAGCGGGTTATATCAAAATTAAGTAAAATAACTTTAGAGAGGGCCTCTTAAAATCATCTAGCGCAATGAAAACACCTGAAAGTAATAATCAAATTACAGTGTTGAAATTTCATCGAATTCTCACTCACAATACAAGAGCTCCAACATTTTGAAGTTCAAGTGGTACTCGGGAGATAATTATCCCACCCAAATTTCAGCCAAGAGAATTGCACCGTGAGACGAAATAGACAGTTGAAAAATCAAAAGTTTGAATTTGCTTTTTTAAATAGATAAGCAACATCAAAAATTATCAGTAGTAATACCTCGACAGCTTCAAAATGATTGGGTATTTTCCGATAGCTTCGTTGCAAACAAACGAGAGTGTCAAGTTTTGTAGGTTTAAAAATTTTTTTCCGTCCCGGCGGTCGCAAAGTTACATTTCCCTTACGCTTCGCGGGAGTGAACTCTGACTTTGCGCCTACGCCGAGACGGAAAATCGCGTTCTAACCACGGGAAGTAAAATAAAGGACCCTCAGCCGCGTGCTTACCAACCTCGCCTTCGGCTCGGCTGGTAATTGCACTGGCGGCTGAGGATCCTTTATTTTCCCTCCCTAGGTTAGAAATATACTATT